CTCGACCATTTACAAGATATTAGAACTTTCTCAAATGGCAGGGGGTCGGGATGATCCCTGGGGACTAACCCTGTATATTATTCAAACCATCTTAGCATGACAAACCAGAATATATATGGTTTAGGGGTGGGGATCTTGACCACTTAGAAGATATTAGAACTTTCTTAAATGGCAGGGGGTGGGGGAGACCCCTGGGGACTAACCCTGTATTTCATTCGATGTGCTTTATCATGACAAACTAGAATATATATATGGTTTAGGGGTGGGGATTTTGACCATTTACAAGATATTAGAACTTTCTCAAATGGCAGGGGGTCGGGATGACCCCTGGGGACTAACCCTGTATATTATTCAAACCATCTAAGCATGACAAACCAGAATATATATGGTTTAGGAGTGGGGATCTTGACCACTTACAAAGTATTAAAACTTTCTTAAATGGCAGGGGGTGGGGGTGACCCCTGGGGACCAACCCTGTATTTCATTTGATGTGCTTTATCATGACAAACCAGAATATTTATGGTTTAGGGGTGGGGATCTCGACCATTTACAAGATATTAGAACTTTCTCAAATGGCAGGGGGTCGGGATGACCCCTGGGGACTAACCCTGTATATCATTCAAACCATCTTAGCATGACAAACCAGAATATATATGGTTTAGGGGTGGGGATCTCGACCACTTACAAGATATTAGAACTTTCTTAAATGGCAGGGGGTGGGGGTGACCCCTGGGGACTAACCTTGTATTTCATTTGATGTGCTTTATCATGACAAACCAGAATATATATGGTTTAGGGGTGGGGATCTCAACCATTTACAAGATATTAGAACTTTCTCAAATGGCAGGGGGTCGGGATGACCCCTGGGGACTAACCCTGTATATCATTCAAACCATCTTAGCATGACAAACCAGAATATATATGGTTTAGGGGTGGGGATCTTGACCACTTACAAGGTATTAGAACTTTCTTAAATGGCAGGGGGTGGGGGTGACCCCTGGGGACTAACCCTGTATTTCATTTAATGGGCTTTATCATTTAGAACATTTTCAATTAAAAAGATTGTGTCTATCACAAACGGTTTTCAATTTATAATCATTTGAAAATTTAAAAAAATAAAATCCCATAGGGTTCTATAGTAAAACCCTCTTTTCTTTTTGCCCCTCAAAGTACCCCTTTATAAACCCCATTGCACAAACAAAACCCTGATTGCACCACTAGACATGTTAGTCTAACATATTGTGAAACCCTAAGTTAATCTGACAAGCGGTTTTGGAGAACGGGTGCGGACAAGTTCAAATTTAAAAGTGGCGGAAGAAGAAGAAGAAGAAGAAGAATAATAATAATAATAATAAGAACTGAGCAAAAACAATAAGTCTTCCCAAACTTCGTTTGGGAGACTTAAATATGACATTGCGTAATCCAAGTGTACAACATACATGACAAATAATGTATATATCATAGACCGTGACTCCTAAACAACATAAATGAAAATCTTCAAAAACTTGACTCGAATTTTGTTGGTATAACAATAACAAAATTATCAAAATTTGATAAAAGATACACAAAATATGTCTGTTGTATATACATACCTATTTCAATAACTAGATTCTTCCTTTGGAAAACCGGGTTATAATAAGAAATTGGTTGTTATTTGCTTAACCTCCAGTGGCAAATATTTCATGTATGTTTATGACGAGAGAACAATTATTACTACAAAAGGTAGGTCCTGAAATAGGCGGTCGACCGGGATGAAGGGCGAACAATTTTGGAATGCCGCTGGAAATAAGGATATATTGGGTAGGACAGAAATTTGGCCTTGCAGCAAGACCCCTCAAAAAGTTGTTGCAATGTTCTTAGCGTGCAGAGATCGTAGTATTCTCTCTACACGAATCATTGGATTAAACGTTCCGAATATGACCGGGCGTGACTGTGAATTTCTGCGTCCATCACGGCAAACAGGACTTGATTTGACAAGCGTTTTACTGCTGATCGGAAGAAGACCAAGGGATGACCATATTTCTATACACCAGTCAAAAAAAGTAATAAGAGACGTACCTATATTATTATAAGACAGACTCTAAACAATGGCTTCTAAATTAAAATGAAATAACTGGGATTTTTCTAAACTTTACTTCTGATTCGCTACATAGATGAATAACTCAGCGTTCGTCTATATAAATCTATATCAATGAATCTGAAATAACGATACCACAGGTACAGTAAAGTCAGAACATTCAGAAATTGACAACGAGGGTCGGTTGACATCTAAAACTTTACGAAAAGGCGATGATTTCAATTTTTCCACTGAGACCGTTCCATTTCAGTGAAGCGACATGCCAGATGTGCCTGTACATTGAAATATATATATACGATACGATACGATACGATAGTATAGGGCTTGGGTTTCATTTCCGATTTTCTTGGTAGAGGGTTTCTACTTCCAAGGACGCTGTGTTACATGTACCAAGGATTTCAAATGGTAATGTTGGATGCATCATTAAGAATGTTTTACGGACCCTTTGCCTTGTTTTAATAGGTTCGTGCTCTTAACAAACTTTATAACATAGCTTTCGATATTATATTACAAAGCGATCTTTGTTGGCTTTCGTAAGCGCGGGGAAAAAATATATAATAAAAAATAATGTAGGGTTTTTGAGTTTTGAATTTTGAATTTTGAATTTTGAATGACCCTTCTCGGCTTTCGTACATAAGGACAAATATATTTCCGTTTACACAAAAAGCTGAAATAAAGGTGTGTTTTATTGGCCTAGCTTACCATCATGAAATTTCACAGTTTTTGTATAGTTTTGCTACTTTACAAATTATGTATAATACAGAGTAACGAAACATAAAATTTGGAAATACGTTTAAAAAAAAAACAAAAACGGATAATAGATAAACTGCATTGATAATCCTTTAGAAAGGTTTTTTGATGTGCAAGAAGCTTAGCAATATAACGGAACATTAAAAAACAGAACTTTAATCATTGTTATCCGACACCACCACAAAGAATACATTCAAGTAAAGCATTTATTAGAAGCACTGACTCACATAATATGTTACACGAAGACTTAACATACTATAGAATAGTTTGCTATACTTAAGCAACATTTCTCAAGAAAAAATATCAAAGATTTCAAATAGCTTTTTTATCAAGCTAGATGTTAAAAAGACGAAGAAGAAGAGAAAGAAGAAGAAATTGTCAGGAACAAGTGAAACTAGCCAGAACTTTATAACTACATTTGTAAAGTAAATGAAAGCAATTTCTAACAGATTATCATCATATACAAAGAAGTCATGTACTTGTTAGTTACAGATAATTCCTTGCGACCGAGATACATATGGCAGTTTATTAAACAATATTTATCATTGTTTGTGACATTTGGAGTTGATCAAAATATTTCATTAAATTTTTGATAAAAATCCGCTAAACCGAAAAAAAAATATTTCAAAAACTTTCTGTGCTATATCATCGACTGGTTGAATTGCAATAGATAAATAGTCAGCACTATAACCTTACATAAAAAGGTTTATTGTCAGACAGATTAATTGTTAATAGCCTAATTTCTATGTTAGCTGCATAAAAGTTATTATGATTGTGAAAAAAAGACTCACCTAACTATATCTGTACTTGCTTATACATGTAAACATTCAAAATATTTAAATTTAAAACTAAAGCAAACCAGCAAATAAGTAGAATCTTACCTCATTATTACATTTAGATAAGGTTGTATTATAGCACAATGCTTTCTTATTTAGTCCTATTTTTTACACTACATGTATAATTTAGCTAAGCACTTTCTCGCATGTTTGCTATATATATGTAATGTGTGTTTTTTGTGGGTGTATTATTTTATTCCAACATCGAGTTTATCACCAAGGGTAGTCGTTTTTTCCTAGACTAAAAGGATAAATGAGTATTTATATTCCCTGAACATTCATTGTCTATAATATACTTGTGTTGTATACATATAAACTTCCTTTGTCATTTTCATGTCTAAAAGAACTGATCTAAACGGACACAACACATGTAGAATTGAGCATCTTTTAAAGCAGTATGACAAATATATCGAATTCCAAGGTAAATTCCAAAAGTCCATGAAAACTGACAAAATCAAATAGTGTCAACCAAAGGAACGAGTGGAAAACAAATGTGATATTACAGGCATTTTTCGAACAAAATGGTGGGTTGAACCTGGTTTTATAGTTAGCTAAACCTCCCGGCCTCTTGTATGGCAGTTGTTTACAGTTCAGTTATATTGGCAAAATCGGGTCAGCAAAACTCAAACATATCATAATTCACGATTTGGTATTGATCGGTTGTCATATATGGTGGCAATATAACCACTTAGTTCTGACAGTCCTTTAGAAATAATGTTTTCATCTTTCTATTCACATAGGATGCAACCTTAACAGGAATATAAATAAAATGGAAATTTAGGTTTCATCTATAGACTGATATCCATCTTTACCATTCAAAAATATTTTTTTCCAAGAATAGAACACTCTTTCTTCATATTTGTTGATCGAGAGGCTATTAATATTGGTAGGTTGTTTTAGATGTATCAATCATTAAGATGTTTAAATCAAAAATATTTTTTCCTCTTGTCAGGAGGAAAACACATGTTTAATACCTATGGACCTCTCAAAGAGTTGTTGCAAGAATTGTTCATAATGCAGACAGCGTAACACTCTCTACAGTCCCCCCCCCCCCTTTTTTTTTTATCGTATACCAAAATATGAAGTGACCATAGATAGACTCAAAAGACTCGTAATTCTACCGTTGTGCCTTCTGTCTGAAGTGATCTGTGATAATAGCGGTTACAATTACTAGTAACTCCTTATTTAGACCACTGCCAACCGAAACACATTTTACTCTTATGTTTGTCTGTTTAAATGTGGTCGTCTTGGTCCAATACCTTTTGTACATGTTCATTACCATATATATCAATACAACTATGATTGTATGATTGTTTAGCAATATCTTCTAATTTTACCTTGCTTTCCGCAACATGTACAGGGATTGTTGCTCTTGGCGACTTCAAAGTTATTTTTTCCAATTATGCAAGTAATCAGGAGTAAACCTCTACAGTCTTCCGTAGAGCTTGTGTAATTCATTGTGATTTCTGACCGGTAAAATAATCCATTTTTTGTAGTTGTGACATGAACGTATGGTGTTAGATTTGTCATCTAAAATAATGTAAAAACAATAGCAAAAGTAAATGGTTCATAACAGCGAAAAAAAAATCAAATAAGAAATGAATGATTGAATTTGTATATAAAATAGATGGACATACGATCAACTATATAAGAACATATCTTCAATGATGCAATAGATACGCTAAACATAAATACTTCATTTAAAGAAAAACTACTTTTGTCTCTTACTTATGCAATAGTTTTTGTTACACTGTCAACTGTTTACACTCGAAATAACAATTTATTTTTCGTATCACACAATTTGTTTTTGTGGTTTGTTATTAAGATTTTTTTCACAGGTTTTTGTAGGTTTTTTTCTTGTGGTCAAGTTGTTTGTTTTTTCATCGGCCTACGTCTGTTTCTACCTCTTTGGTATTTGTATATGCTTTCCCTTTCCGTTTGCTTTCTGTAAACATTCTGTTGTTTTGTACAATTTACATTCTTAAGATCTGCATATTGAAATTTTCAACTATATTTTTTACTTATTCAATTCTCTTTGGATACATCATTAAAAGATTGCTATTTCAAGTAAAATGCACAGACGCAAAGACGCATGGACGCACTGACGCCCAGTAAAACAATGACTAGATATGAGTTAAAATGCATTTCTTACAACACTAAAAAAATAGTATTTTTATCAAAGTCATTTTGTTTTATAGATGAAGCTTTTAAACATGCATGAATATTATAATAATAATCATATTGATAAAAAAGCAAACAAAATAAACAAACTTACACCAATATGTCCAAAGCATACAGGAATTGGGTAAACCTTAGAGAGTGTGACATTGACTTTTATTTTGAACATCTCAACCTTTGGCTTTACGGGTAATATTTCAGTTGGATGGTCTGAAATTAAACAACTCTCTTATAAAAGTTAATAATTATTATAATTCATAACCGATTTTCAACTTCTGAAATAAAAACAGGTGTCAATGATAGGAAAGAACCAATTTACCTGATTGGAGTACGATTTTTAACGTATTCGTTTTTTACTGTGTTTGCCGATTTGCCGTCTTTAATAAAAAGTGGGTTATATTAAAACAAGAATGGATCCGCTAAATGTCTTATCTGCTCTACTTTTAATGACTTGCAGTGACTAGAACAAAATGCTGAAAATCTAATGATCAAAGTCTTACTACGTGCATCACGACATTATCGCAATGAAACCCTGTAAATAAAAAATGTACGTCTTTAAGCTATACAGAATTTATATTTAGTCGTTAACTCAAAGTCATCGAATATATCAAATTCGAGCTTCGCTCTCACCCCATATGGAATCTACTGACCCCATATATGTCGTATTCGGTCACTAGCACACTATGTAACTAATGTTATTACTGTAATTTACTGTTCAGCAATGAAATATGAAAAAAAAAACGTCAAGCTCAAAATTCACATTTTAGACGAACATGTAGATACAATTGTTAAGTTGACCAAATATAATATATGACCTATTCTTTTATTATCTAATTCCAATTCCGAAATTTTAACCATTGAAAATGTGTCTACAAAAAATCAGGAAAAAGCTAGGTAAACCATGATTCCAGACTTACATGAACTTTACACAAAAGTTCTATAATGTGATCAAACTCGACCACATCTTATTCCTAATAATAGAAATTCACCTTTACCCTTCAAACATAATGTCGATCAAATTACTATGAAAATGAAGTAAAGTTCATGTGTCTTCATTTAAGGCGAACATGTGGACCTTCATAGAAAACAAATATAGCTGACGAATTAGATGTACTAAAAAGTAATTGAAATACTTACGTAACCATGACAAATTAACGTAAATAATTGACCAATAACATTTGGCCAGGCATACGGCAATCTTGTAAGACGTACTTGTAGGTCTTACAATTATTCTATAGACCAAACTGGACGACGCTTATGCCAAAAGTAGATGAACAACCGTGGGATTCCTAAAATCTTTACTCATATTTTCATTCTGTTATTGAAACTTGACAATTAGGATAACAACACCGGATATACGCCAAAAGTAAACTCAGGGCTATAAGCATCTGCACACAAGGTATGGATTATTCATCTGTTTTCTAATATTGTCTACAGGTATTAAAATGATGATTAAGTGCTGCTTCGTAACACATTGAACTGTATGTACTTCTATGTACTTTTTGTTGTTCTTCCCGACACGAATAAACTAATATTTGAATGCTACAAATCTACATGTAGTTTAGAATCACAATACAGTCGTGTTACAGTTTTTGGTCATATTCTATTTCGTTAAGGATTTCGATTTTAAATTAAAAAAAATAATAGCGTGTGTTAAATCATTAACGACTGCTCTACACTCGGGACATGCTGGACATATTAAATATATCTATATAGTAGGTTGCTGTCTCATTTTTATACCAAAAATCTCTTTTCATCAGGGGAAAATATGTGGCTATGAATAAGTTTGAAAGAAAATATTACGTTTTAATTTTGCAACTGAAGGAAAAATTAATGTTCCGTTAGTTGATAAAAGTTAGTTGAGATTTTATGAAACACAGTAGATCGTTGTCATCATTCTAATTGTATATTCAGGACGAGAACATGCTAATGTGATATGAATATGAATCATGCTTTCTACTCTGAGCCGGATTTTTAACGAGCTAGTACACAATGTAACATCACGCAGGAAGGCACGTCACCCTACCTACATATTATTCGAACTCCGGACCAACCATTCTTGGTCTACTCCTAAATGCCGCGTTCACAGCTGAAAAGCATCTAACACCAATCTTTGGTTTGACCCAGTCGGGGATCGAACCCCAGACCTACCGCACTCGAAACGAGCACGCTACCACGAGATCACCAAGGCGGTTGCTCAATTGATAGTACATATTAAATCTTTTTACATAACAAAAGAAAATGGACATGGCTGTGTCCGTTCAAAATATAAAAATCTTGCGATAAGAAATGCGTCGATCTACAAACTTACATTCGTATTCAATTTCACTTAGTTGAAGTCTCGCTGTGTACTTTAAAAAGGCATACGCACATTCGTATGGTATATCAATGTCTTTTTCAGAAAGTGATTTAATGGTCAGTATTGAAATGCGATCTCGTTCATTTAGTTCTTCTTCATATTTTGTTTTATTTTGTGAAATACCATTCATAACTATAAGTTTGTTCGCAACACCAGCAGTCCACTTTCTGTTGTATTCAGAGCAACAACTTGTGTCATTGGGCAATTTACATATCAAATGAATGTCATTTCCAAATACAACTGTCTGTTCCGATAGAGTCCATTCTACATTGCCTGTAAAAATATAAAAGTTAAAAAATCTGCAAATAAATAACATAACCCTGAAATAATTTCCGCTTGAAAAAACAATGTCAACCGATGCTTTACAATTTCAACGGAAAGAAAGACAACGGTTTGAAATTATGAATCTGAAAATTTAACCATGAATACTTAATTGCACGGTAAAGAAATAAGAGTACATATGTGGAATAAACAGACACACAGTAATATGCACAGTAAAACTCAGTTTATAAAAAGGTCCGAGTCCGATGTTAGAATAGAATATGAAATGTATCAAAATACAAATTTTTGAAATTATTAATAAAAATGATTATAATATTATTTACAACGGGTGAGGTACAAAATCAGAAGGTTGCAGAAATACGCAACTTAGCTCAACCTCAAATTTGGTCATATGCTTTTCAACCTCTTGGAATATTAAAATAATATATATAACATATTACCTATTGCAACTGAAAGGTTAAACAATAACCAATGTAGTAATAACTTCATGATCAGTATTAAATATCTTCTCGTGAGTATCCATTCCGAATCCTTATTGCGTCAATCTGAAACGACAAAATTATTTTCTAAATTCTTGTTTTATAAATCGAAGAGTGCACACGCTGAAATGTCTCACCTACTTTACTGGTCATAACTGAACTAATGTCGATATCTTAGAGAAAAAGGTTGTACAAGTACTTATTCACATTAAATTGACATTACCAATGATCCATGTAAATGAGGTAATAAAAGGTCAGATGAATCGTGTCAGACAAACATGTACGCCTTACAATCATACAGTTAAACTACTGCTTATTGTTTCTGAGAAACAGACCTTATCAAGAAACTTAAGTTTGATCAATGAACCATAAAATGAGGTCAAAGTCAGATAAACTCTGCAAGACAAACATGTATACTTTGAAATCATTGAATTTCCATAGACAAATTTGCTTATAGCTATAGTATCGGAGAAATAGACTAAACCATGAAACGATGAAATTGACCAATTAACCATGAAATAAAATCTGTCAATTGAACTCTTACGATAGACTTATACATCTTATAAAAATTACATGCACTAAATGTAGTTGGCCTTTCGCTCATAGTATATGAGAAACGAAACGGCCTTAAACACGTCTCATGGACACGACTATTTATAAACTGAACATTGACCAATGAACCATGAAAATGAGGTAAAGGTCTGCTCAGATGAAAGCTTCCAGACAGTCATGTTCACCTGACAATCACCACGAACACTTAAAGGGGCATTAGCTGTCAAATTCATGCTCACCGATTTTACTCAAATTCTCATATTTGATTTATAACATACTAAAACGTATATCCAAATTATAAAGTCTAAAATAAACAATTTTCAATGCACCGGCTCGATAATATGTATCACCATTCCGTGTGTATTTAAGTCTAAACGCCATCTAATTAACCATCGAGGTGACCTCCGAAGACTGCCGACGGTCATATAACCCGATATAAACATAAATATAGATATAAATAGATAGCAAACTCGTGCAATTAGGTTTTTCTAGGTCTGTTTGATTTCATATTATAGGTTAAAATATATGTTAATCATCGTTTTTACCTGTATAAGAATGAGTTTTTGTAGATCAAATCAGTCAATCAAATGGTTTACCCTTGTTTCACTTTCAATGTTAACATTCTTTTCCTTTAATAACTGAACACGCCTTATTCATGCGTAACCCAACTCTAGCTAAAGGGTTAAATTGAAGGTCACATGAATATGGATTCATTGAGGTCGAATTATTCACTTGCAAGTGAATAATTCATCAGCGATGTTTCTTAGCTTATTTTGACAAAGTTGAACCAAACTGGCTGCTAAAAGCGAATTATTATTTCACTATTTCACTTTCATTAATGATTGAACAAAAAAAATCATAATCTAATTTTTTGTATATCTCGTAGTTAATGCCCCTTTATAGTAGGGTGCCCAGTCAAAGAATTTGGTCGATTTGGGTTAACGGAATAACACACGGCTGTATTTAATATCAACGGAAAGAAGAGAACAAGCCTCATCGAAATATTGATGTGGTCGTTGTTTACAGTGGTCATAATTTTCTTAAATGTGGGTCAAAGGTCAAAGCTAAAATTTCAAGGAAAACGCAGAGTCACGTTTAGTCAGCTGGCCACCCCTATATAATGCGTTTATAGCAAAATAAATTCGATTAATTCGAAGGATTCTAACTATAGTTTCTATATTTAGGACTAATTTGATATTTATGTTGCCAAATATGGTTCGAGATTGACATTTGTACTTATAGTGTGCACATTTACAATTTTCATTCAGCTGTTAAACAACAGTGACCTTGACCTATTAAAATTTCCAAATTCGGAATTTTTACACAAAATTCGATACAAGTGATCTCTTGAGATGTTTTATAGATATTAACATTGATAAGTTGCCCTCCCAAAATGTTATTTTTCCGTCTTTTGATAGAAGGTGTTCGTAATGATTTTCTGGGTAAATATCCAATTTTCTTTCGGTGAGTGTGGAAGCACATAAAATTGTACTTAGTTACAAAACTGGTGTTCTATTAACGCAGAATGGATTAAATTATCAGGTCTGAGTATATCTTTGCTTTATAGAAATAAGAAAGACTGCAAACGGTGAAAAAGGAGGAGGGTTTTCTGTTAAAGTATATATGAAAATAAAATGACAATTAGAAACACGTTAATCACTCCATCTAACACACTTGTATGCCTTATTGAGCATAAATTGGCCTACAATTGACATGAAGTTAAAAACTATTTATAAAAAAAAGGATGTAAACAACATCAATCTAATTAAAATATAGATCTCTGATTTCGTTATCCTCATATGAGCTTATATACCGTACGGTCTTCAACAATGAGAAAAACTCATACCGTATTGCCGGCTTAAAAAGGCCCGGATATAAAGAAAGGAAACAATTCATTCGAGAAAACTAACGGCCTTATTTATAACAAAACAATTTACCAAAAACAAATTGACTGACATGAACCAACGACAACCATTCAAATGCCGGCTCGATCCTGACTTGGGACAGGCATATAAAGAATGTATAATCCTTTTCTTTAAAAAATTCGACATAATTCAGTCAGTTAGTAAAACATGATGTACAAGTAAAATTCTAGTTTTTACGATAATGATGTTTATGATCATACTTTTCTCAGACTATAAATTGATCAGCTTTCAGTAAGGGGACGACCATTTGATTTCGAAAGGAGGCAGGGGAGAAGGATTTTGAAAATCAATAAATTAACCTGGTATGAACTGAAAATAAAAGACTTTGCACAAGACCGGATGAAAATGATTTCTCTGCAATATGAAATGCAGGATAGTTGAGAATATAAATGTTTACAAAGAAAATAAGCATACGTAGCAACAGATGAAACAAAAGGTCAATCCGGAAAAAAATTCCTGCTGTCAGCTTGGCACATATATAGGTCATTGGCTTCAGTGGTTTGCTCGAACAACACTATTGCCAATTTAGCTTTGAAATTATTGCAGTTGTGTCTGCTGGTGTATAATTTATAGCACGAACAATGATACATTTCTTGTTGTCGTTCACACATAGGGGATTTAGCTTGACAAAATCATGTAAGACCATAACATAGACTTGATGTGCAATATTCCGGATGTGAAACAACACCGACCGATTTGATTCTTATACTACAATTATAACAAAAATATCTATTCAATAAAAAGTTTAAAGTATTGAAAAACAGACACAAAACATATTCCTCCTTAGAATATAATAGTTTACAAAGTTCGCTGGCTATTCAAAACAAATAAATCAACCACACAACAAGCAAAAATGAGAAATGTATTGAGTGACCAATGTCCTTGTTAATGACCCAATAGTGTATTAATGTCACGGGATAATCCGTGTTTAATCAATAACAAAATTTTGACTTAATTTGTGTTTTTAATTGCAAATTTCTTCAAAACTACCTTTATTTCACACATGAAATTTGGCACACACATCTACCGTGTCTTATTGCTTTAATCAGTGATGATACACGTAATAATTTAATATTAATTATTAATTTTAATAATTTAATATTAAAAAAACTGAAACGTATCAATATTTACCAATCACTAGTGCACATCCGAAACACACATTCACAAGTATTACAGTGTGTGAATCTATACGTCATATTAGAAATAATAGTGATATCATTGAATTAGATAGACATTTAACTAACTTACAAGATAAGTAAGTTGAAAGAGGATACTGTAAAAATAAAACAGAGAATGTTATTAGAAACGTTAAAAATACCACAAACAGAAAAACAACTTTATTGAAGGCCAATAGGACAAAGAATGTCCCACTCACTCTCATTACTGAATATAATCCAATGGTAAAAACCTTAGTAAAGTTATAAGAAAACATTGGAGCTATCTGCAAAAAGACAAACAATGCAGTGAAATCTTCACCCAGGTGCCTATCATAGCGTATAAACGTAACAAAAATATCAAAGAATACCTTGCTAAATCAAGGAAATAGTTGGGAGACTTTTGAAGAGGGACCCATGCTTTAATAGTATAAGCAAAAAATCCAGAAACACTGTTAGTTATTATCTTAATTATAGGCAACAAACTTTCATATAAATGAAATTAAATAAAACGGTGTAAAGTCTTGAGATTTATTAGGTATGTTGGTTGAAGGAACCGCATTTAATTATAATTTCTTAGAACATCCAACAAAGGAGGCTGTGAAGGACGAGATACATTGTACGTTCAATAAACTTGGAATTACGAAAGCTGGCATTATCCAAACTCTCGGGGATGATTGCAAAACACATTTTAGAAGTGTCAAAAGAGCTGGACTCAAAGATGCAAGAATTAGATGAGGAATTAGTGAAGGCAGGACGTTACACAGAGCGCCGAAATTTTTTTAAGATTGTCGAGGAGCTGATTGAGGAGTATAAAGAGAAGCTCAGACGCTACAAAGAAACAATTATAAGAAAACCAGCACAAAGTGGATACAAACCCAAGGACAAGTTCAAAAGGAAATTTTAAGTTTATTATTATTCCGATAGTGGGATTAATTTACCAGCTTTTAGCTCAAGTTCTTATCCGTCTTCTTGTTATGTACTTGGGATTAGTCTATAGAATTCTACGTGAGTGAGACACATACATTTATACTTAGTTTTAGTGAATATTAAATGCAAGCTTTACTGTTTTTAAACTAGACTTTAATATCTTTTTGTGTATATATTTTTTATCGTTATGGGAAATTTTCTTATACTATCTTGGATTTATTAAATCATTTAGCTACTAGGTGTGTTCTCCTTTTTCTATTGGTAAGCTGTAATCTTTTGCGCATGTACATTACAGGTAACTCCTCCCTAAATCTGTCTGGTCCACATGTTCTCATTTTCTTGGTGAGAACATGGCGAACAGATCGTTAAAAAAGTCTGATCATAGATACATCTATGGTCTGATAAAAAGAAAAAATGCAGAAAACGGAACAAATTAAGATCCCGAATAAAAAAAAAGCGACTCGAGCTGAGTCTAGTAGAAAATTCGTTCTGAACTTGTCAACAA